ATTTTTTCTAAATAATTATCTTTATTGACAGAGTCTTTAGTTATACAGGAGGTGTTTATTGCACATTCAAATTGTTGAAATTGTAAGTGTTCCATTGTTTTCCATCCAGATTGTTTACAAATGTGATCTAATGAATCAATTAAGTATGATTTGAAATTTTCTTTATTTATTTCGTGAAGACTTGTCTGGGTTAATACCTCAGACAAATACCAAAAATTAATTGACATAAATAAAAAATATTTCTTGATCATTTTTAATTATAATTTTTTTATAAAAATATAATTAAATTAGTATAGTGTTATTTAATGTATTATTATATTAACGTTAAATACTTTTGATGGGTGATTTTTATATGATTTAAAACGTTTGTACAATGTAGTATTTTCATAAAGTTTATTGAAAAACTTGTGTAAATTGAATTTATTAAAATTATTATTTGCAATTCTGTTATAAAAATGGTATTTTTAATGATCATAAATGTGNATTCTGTTATAAAAATGGTATTTTTAATGATCATAAATGTGCTCTTGCATTATTTATTAAGCTTAAACTAATTTTATTTACATAGACAAAATAATGAAATCCATAGTGTTACATAAATTAATCTAAATTTAAGAATAGTCCAAAATATTGGGGATAGTAAAGTTGATATAAGGACTTGTTGATTTAAAAAAATACAGTTATGATTGCTAAATTTTTATAAAAAATGTTTAAATATATCACCAAACAAAGACCGAATTTTATAAAAAAATTTAAATTTAAATATTTGTTATAAATTGCTTTCATACATTATTTGGAAGAAAAATTAGTATAGGTGTTGTTTACGGCATATGGTTTCAAATAAAGATAAAATTATTTTTTTGCAATTCTTAAATTTAACACAAATAAATTAAAAATTTTTAGTCTTACTTAATTTAAGGAGGTATTGATAAATCAGAAAAACATGTACCTAAAAGTAAACAAATTCTGATTATTATATTCAATTAATGAAGTGGTTTATAATAAATTAATTCTCCTACATTTTCTAATATATATCTTGACGGATTCGAATAAAAAAAATGTTTCTTTGAGGTTTCTAACTATCTTTTATCTGTCTGGGTCCCGAGATAGAATAGACCCATAGTATTCCGTTGTTGTTGTTAAAAGCGATTAAAAAAGAGTGCATCTTTCTTAATACTGGCTGAAAGTAGAGATCTAAATGTTCGGTATAGTTGCATACCAAAAAACCGTATGTAGAAATGACTGTTCTTTTGATGACTACAGTACTCTGATGTAGAAGGAAATAACCATCACATATTATACTTAATAATATACATGTTCCCTTAAATTCCTTAGTATCCACATCATGAATTGCCTCAATTTGAATTATTCTGCGATTTGATAGAGAAGCTCGGAGAACTACGATCAACCGATAAATTGAAAACAAATAAAAATTGTCTGGTACATGATAAGCCGTGATAGTATTATTTTTTTTGTTATATCATTTGGATAAAATATAGTAGTCTATGACATCGAAATTAGAATTTTGAAGTGCAATGTTTATATTTTTATATCACGGAATTTAAACTTATAAAAATTAATCGCGGTGAAGATATTTTAGAATATAACAATTTTATATTTAATATTGCATATAAAATAAAAAATATGAAAATAACTCATAGGACAAGAATCATTTTTTTTTTTTTTGTTAACAATTTTTGAACGAATCCTTCTAACCTAGTTTTTATTATATTACTAATTAGCATTTAAGCAATAATTACAAAGTAATAAAATCAATGGTCGTAAAATGTATACCAACATTTATTTTTAAACCTGAGCCTGAACTCAGGTTCAGGTTAAGAATCATACTATCAAGAAAAAATATACCTACATAAAAGTATATAACTAATGTATTTACGAAAAAAATTGTTTTGATTTATCTATTTTTATAAAAGTTATGACAGTTTAAGTATAAAAAAAAAGTTATTGTTAAAATGTTGAAATTTTCCAATTTTAAAAATGTTAATTTTTTGGGAGAATTCTTCAATTCACGGAATTTTTCTTTTTTGCTAAAAATTTTTTTTTACTTTAAGTATCGCTGTTTAGAAAAATTTGAATATTCAAAAAAAAAATTTTGTCACGACAAAAAAATTATAAAATAGAATATTCATGGGAGGGGGCAACACTATTGATGATTAGTAGTAGTAATATAAGTTTTATTTATACATATTATTGAACACCTTAAAAGAGTGAATAATGTAGTAATAATAACATTTATTATTAAATTTATTTAATTTGAAAATTTTAAATTAATCAAAAACTATTTTTTATTGTTGTCGAAGTTTTTAATGAATTAATACATAATTTAATTTATGAACCATCGACCTGGTGTCCAATTTATTTTAACCTTTAATTACCTCTACCTTACGTTACTTATTCCTAGTGTCACTGGGCGATATTAGGCTTCTTACCACCAAGGCACAAAACAGTATTGTTTAATAATTTTTAAACAATGAATATCGATATTATTCTAGTATTTTTATTATAATTTATTAGTTTTTTATGGTTTAAGTATCAACAAGAAGACAATTAAATTTGTTTTTATTAACATCTTTATTATAGTGCATATTTTAGCCTGAAGAGTTTTAATTATAGAAGAATTTTTATAACTTTTCATTAGCTATTTTTTCTAAAAATTAAATAGAGTACTATTTCATTTTAGGAATAAGTAAATGTATTAAAACATCGACAATATTAACTTATATTTGTAGAGTAGAAACTAAAATTTCTTAACATTTTAATTATTTTAATTAATTAATTTAATTAAATTAGCAATAAGAAATGATAAAGAACAATACTTTTTATTTTAAACATTGAATTAATACAGAAAAAGAATAATTTTATATTGTATAACTCTTAAATACAAATAGGTTCAAAACAAATCTTAAAAATATTATGAAAAAATACTTGTAAAATTTTAATTTAAATATATTCATTAGTAATAAAAAATTATAAACATACATTGAGTAATTAAAATAAATTAAAATAATTTAACCAAAAAAAATTATCTTTTAAATAATTTTTTTAGAAACTTTATGAACTACTAATGTAGTATATTTCACACGATAAAATAAATAGAGCTATTTTAGCAGCAGAAAAATTCTCATTCTTTAGTTTTCAAACAGTTTCAAAAATAGTAGGTACACTTTCTTAATCTTAACATATAATATCACGGTATTTAAATTACTTACAAATATGAGAAGGGATCGATATCATAAGATGGTAGTTTGATATGCAATACGCAAACTACAATACTGTTAACTAGTATGATTTTATAAAATTTTACAACTCGGATAAGAATAAAAAATGTACATATATTTTCTTATAATTCTCTCAACCTTCATTAAAAATTATAAATAAAATAATTAAAAACAAACATAGTGTATTTTACAACTCCCTAGATACTAGGCTATAACTTATTAGAAAAACATAATTATGAAAGAATTGTTTATAAAGACAAAANAGATACTAGGCTATAACATATTAGAAAAACATAATTATGAAAGAATTGTTTATAAAGACAAATAGATGATTTTTTTACACGGGAAGCCGTTTATTTAATTTATGAGGTCACGACAATAATTTTCCTTGATCAACAATTGTTTTTCAGTATAATCCAATAAAACAAGTTTGATCACATCAGAGATCTCTATTATGATAAATATTATAGTCTATGCGAAGGAGAGACCGTTGAAGAAATGAGCATTAGGCAGATGTATTCAAACGTCTGCCAGTGACTCCACTGTCATGGCCGGCGTAGGCAACAAGTTCTGCAACGAGAAGTATCTGGACTTGTCGGCCACCTCGACGTTTGTGATGTGTTCGAAACAGCAAGGCTGCGATATGTGCGATTTGTCGGGGAGACGACGAACCGGAGTGGTTTTGTTCTTTTGTTTGCGGCCGTGCTTTGATCGGCTACCTGGTCCTGACAACTGAATATTCTCTGGGTCCGATGTAAGGCGGTCGATGTGTGTCCATAACTGTTGAGCGGCTTCGGCACAATCGAAGCTCAAGCCGATATGCTGCGTATGGTCGGTAGACAGACACATGGTATGGAATCCTTGACTGGACACCTTGTACGACGTTAAATTATCAATAGTATCCTGCCACAATGCAAAACAAGTTCCTCGTTCCACCAACAATATCTGAATACGAGGTTTATCCCGCGAACGAGTCTCGCCGCTATCGTACAAAACTACTGGAATGCCGGTGAATTTTAAATCCCATGAGCCTTCTGCCGTCGAGGAGTTGTTGTGCAAGTACAAGTTGGCCATTGATCCACAGACGTACACCTAAAAAAGAATAATAACAAATATTAGTATCAACTATTAATTATGCGAGTCTTTGTAATATTCATATTAAGACTATAATGAGATTAGTAATTTCTATAAGCTTGGACTATTAACTCGTTGAAACAAAGAATTTTAATTAAATAGTTATACCAAGAAATGATTTAAAAACAAACGTAGAAATGAAATAATTGTATGTTAATTACTTTTAAAAATACTTTAAATAATAACGGAATTTTAAATTTCTTTTAGCTTCGATGCGAAGCGGAGAAGGTATTAATTTTACTATGATGTGTTTTTTTTTTTTTTTTTTTTTTTTGTCTGTTGCCACTTTTTCACAGCTCTCACTGGACCGATTTCTTTCAAAAATACGTCAAAAGATCACAAATCGTATCTAGTTGAAGACATTACCCTTAAAAATTGAAAAAAATTTCCTCGTTCCCCGCAAATGGGGGAAATATCCAAAAAAATTACAAATTTAAAAATCGCTAATTTTTGAAATTTTTTCACTTTTTTTTCTTAAAACTTCCATAACTTTTTGAAAAATCAACAAATCAACATAATTTTTTTTTATACTAAAACCTTAGATATTTATCTTTCATTTTATATTATTTTTTTGAAAATCTATCATTTAACCTGCTCATTAGGGGGGATTTAAAGTAGCAACTTTTTTACAAAAATTAACTTTTTCAACTTAATTTTTGAAAATGTTCCGGAAATACTGCGTCCTTCAAACATATATCAAATTAAAGCTTATTTTATGTTCTACAAAATGAAAAAAAAAAATTTGTCCCGACACTTTTTCTTCTACATTTAAACGGCTGCCGTAGTTAAAAAAACGCTATTTTTGCGTTAAAATTTTAGATTTTCGATTTTTAATTTTCAACTTAAAAATGCTATAACTTTTTGAAAAATGTATGTATCAGCACAATTTTTTTTTTTCTAAATACATTATAAGTACATCTTTCATCTGAAATACATTTTATTAAAATTAGACAATTTCCCCTTATATAGGGGGCGTTCAAAACTTGAAATATTGTAAAAAACATAGATCTTTTTCAACTGAACTTTTGAAAGTGTTCCGGAAATACTGCGTCCTTTAAACATATATAAAATTAAAGCTTATTATATGTACTATAAAATAAAAAAAAAAAATTTGTCCCGACGATCTATCTTCTATGTGCAAATGGCTGTCGAAAATTAAAAAAAAATGTAATGATTGCGATAAAAATTACCTTTTATCGGGATGTTTTTTGTGCTTAAAACTGCCATAACTTTTTCAAAAATTAACAAATAAAAATAATATTTTTTTGTATTAAAACCTTAGATATTTCCCTTTCATTTGATATAATTTTTTTTGGAAATCTACCACTTATTCTGTTCACTGGGGGGATTTAAAATAGTAACTTTTTTACAAAAAATAACTTTTTCAACTTAATTTTTGAAAATGTTCCGGAAATACTGCGTCCTTTAAACATATATCAAATTAAAGCTTATTTTATGTACTACAAAATGAAAACAAAAAATTTGTCCCGACGATCTATCTTCTATACGCAAACGGCTACCGTATTCAAAAATATGCTATTTTAACAAATTTTTTTTTAAAATGAAATACTATCTACAGATTTGCATCGAAGCGTTTCTTATGATAGTGATTTAAATCACTGTCAAATATCATCTATACTTGTCCCATCTATGCCTTGTCTACACTGTGCCTCGACCCCACTGTGCTACCGTTTTTTATTTTTTTCCATAATTGAGACTCGTAATACTCTAAATATTACGCCTTAAGATAGTTCTTAATTGAAATCGACAAAAATTCATTTTTAATACCGACATTAACCGTGGGAAAAGTAACGATCAGCAGCATTCCATCGTGTGACAATGGTAAAATAGTTAACAATTAATTAATACCATTTTTATTGACATGCATATTATCCTAACAACTGAGTTATAGAAAATTAACTAATTCAATAATCTAATCATATTAATAGTCAAGAGGTCGTAACATCAATCATAAAATCATTTTATAAAATATATGGAACAAAAAAAGCAAAACAGTAAAAAAGTTGCACCTTAAGTTTGATTTTCAATATAGAACTGTTCCACTTTTACATATATGTATGTTTTTTGAATTCTCATCACTTATTATTGGAAGAATAGAGAAATTGTTGTAATTGGAGAAATAAAAATCTATTAAAAATGATATAATATAAATTTGCTATAAGATATATTATTATTCAATAAATTTATTTTCTAGCAGGATGTACAGTTTTAATACTTTCGAAAACAAACATAATTTATTAAAAAGAACTAATAACCTGCGTTTTCAACCCTCTGTAACAAGATTCAACTTGAATTTGTTCTTTGTCTGAAAGTTCAGCGCTTTCCCCACTACCAGCGCTACTACTGCTGCTGCTACTGGCACTGCTCAAGTGAAAGTCTGAGGGTTCCGAAAAATGTTCACGACCCGCTCGAGTTGAATCTAACTGTCTATCCATGTTGATGATGGAACAGGCTGCGTAACCAGACGATATTGAACTGGTAGCTACCGTTACACCAGGTGGCATTGCTAAACCTGAAAATAATTATTTTGACAAATGAAATTTCATTAAAACGTAAAACTTAAGATTAAACTATTCTCGGCATATTGGAACTGCTCTTGGCGCATCGTAATTGCGTCTACATTATACACTCTTTTAAGGTGTCCAATAATATGTATATAAGTAAAACTTATATTATTACTACTAATTATAAACAGTATTGCAAATGGCCCCCACCCCATATTGAATTTTTAAATTTTTTTGTCGTGATAAGCTTTTTTTTTCAATATTCGAATTTTTCTAAATAGCGATACTTAGAGCAAAAAAAATGTCGAAATAATTACTACATCCCTAAATTTCTATTTTTGCTATAAACTGATTATAAAAATGTACCATTAAAAGTAATAGTACAATCACTAGTCTTCTTTTCCCTCATCTTTATCCCAAATACTTGGGGTCGGCCACCCTTGTCCTTAACTTCCACTTGACACGATCACGCACACATCAGCCGACCTCATACCGCATTCAATAACATCCCTCCATCTCTTTTTGATCTTCCTCTAAGTAAAGTTACTAGTATAACTTTATTTATTAGTTACATTTTTTGTCATAATATTCATTGACAATAGTTTTCATATCATGTAAACTCTTTCAAGCGCAGCAGTAAGGTAAACTCGAAAATAGCGGTTTTACGAGTGAAAAAAACAGAATAGTAATACACTGTCAGTGTATGTCGATTAATATTACTAATAAAATAATTATAAACTTATTTGTGATTCTGTGTCTTCCGGATCGGTGCAAACAGGTTGCAAGAATGCAGTCAGTCGCATAAACGAAGACTTAACTTAAGTACCGATACCACTATAAGTTCATAAGACGTAGCCCCCACGATAACGGTTTGGCGAGCGAGTTAAATACACTGGAATAGGATCATTATGAAACCGTCTTGGGGTTAATGGTGTTTTTATAAATAACGGTGGCTTCGTGACTGGAAGTTACGTGTCGTGCACACAAGACGTCGTCTGAAACACTCGATGACGAAGCAATGAGTTTTTAAGAGTATGAAATGATGTTTCTAGACGATAACAATAACTGGTAGAACAAAGTGTCACTTTAGGTAAATCATGAGCTAATGAGTCAGACAGATATTCGTGCTAAGAAATCTGTTCGGCTAAATCATGTCTTTCATACTATCTAAACCCCATCTTAAGTGACAAAAACAAATCCCATATGTTTTTACAGTTACAATGGTTATCGACAAAACACTGTTCGTTTGGATTTGCAAGTACTAAAATTCAGGAAATAGTTTTCTAATGACACATAATGTACAGCGTACTAATAAAAATATTCAACATCACGAGAAGAGCATAAAACCGACAAATAATGTGATTTTTGCGTGTATTACTAGTACTTACAACTATTATAGAAGACGTGCTGAGAAAACAATTGCGTTTGTCATGACAGTAAAACAACTTAGATACGTATGTGGTACGACCCAAACTCATATCATGTGCTCAAACCGTATCGAATCACAGTTATAGTAAAAATATGTTCAGTTATCAAAGAGTTTCAGAATTTTAACTGCGTATTTTGGCATCCAATAATTTTTTCAAGTAAAATGTAGATAAAACCATTGAAGAATTTTATCAGTCAAACGACAATAACAGACTTCTTGAGATTATCTTCATGTATCGTCTTTTAATTACAATATAAATAATTTGTAACTGGTGTTACTAACAGTACAATTTCGAATTATAAAATCTTACGGTATAATTGTAAACTATCCGACTAATTAGCGGTGTAAACTGATTAATTCAGAATCGTAACATAAATTTGTACAAATCTTCCTATCGAACATAAATAGCTGCTTTTGTTTATTTTGACAAAAAGTACTCATATGTGACCACCGCCATCACGGTTCGTCACATCGAAGGCCCATTAAAATATATCACGGTAGTATAATTGCAGTAATTGTGAACATAATCGAGACCACAGTTAACGGCTTATACGTTAAAAATAAATGCATTTTTATATTTCTGCACACTATTCTAATCACTGAGGTAAAGCGGCGAAAGCCCGAACCGAAACAAGACTAATTTCGGCCCACATAATTAGCATTAATTACACTAATTCAATGTAAGTGAACCACCTGTAAAAAATATATCACATTTGTGTTAAATCTTTTTTCAATCGATACAACCTTTTTGCAATATTGCATAGGTCCAATTGATTTAGTAATTGTTTTTGAAAATATTTTAAAGAAATTTTGGTAACTAGAATCATTGTCATATATAAGCACTTGTAAGAATCTTGAAAAATAATAATAATAACAAATAATACTTTGTTAATAAATTGACCGTGCGAAGAAAATGTCGGTGAAAAGCGCGCGAAAAACAGTTTTGCGTGACGAAAATTTAGAGTATGAAAAGAAGACGGCGTCTTCTGTGCAGTTTATGCGCATCTCTACATGTGTGTCACTCGGACAGGACGATGGCAAAAAATGAAAATAAAAAAAAAAAAAAAAAAATTGTCGTTGTTGACTAAATAATGGTGTGTATTGTGTAGAAATCAAGCCATACGTGACGACTTACTGACCACCTTAATGTTTCTCTATTTTTCAATCTCTAGACCAAGTTCGAAAAAAAACGATTGATATGATAAAAACATCGTAAATTGATATTTAATTAAGTATTGTTAAAATTCAATTTTAACGTAATCGAGAACAATTTTTTCATTGACACGTTTATTATTATTTTATCATAGTTTAGCTAGCATTATTTTAACGATGACTAACTACCATGAAAATTCCTCGTATTATCTCATATTGTGAATGTCGTATGAATGCGCCTAGATATCGCAGTAAATGTTAATACACCATAATAAAAAAAATACACAACAGTAAGGACGCAAAATTATTATCACTTCAGGGGAGATATAATTGTAAAACGCAGCTAATTTGAACCAGTACAAATCTTATCCGTTCAACAGATACGCATACAAACGCTATTTTTTGTTCTATATTCCACGCGAATGCTTTAATAATGTAGAGCATTATTAATGCAACTTTACAACAATTGAGTGAAAATGCGCGATTAAAATATCCGGCTGACTGCACAAGTCTAAACCATAAGGCAAAAACTTATTTCACACCAGACAATAACGATATAATTATTATTCGGTCTGAATTATACATTTATGAGGTTTATGTTAGTGCTGAGTCTGTAATAATTCTTACAATCTTAAAATCATATTAAAACACAATATATTAAAAAACAAGAACATAAAAATAAAAATCTGATCCCCTAGATTATAACAAATTCACAGAATTATTTCTTTCGGGGCATTTAAGAAAGGACTAGAAAATAATCTTGATGTCTAATGAAATATAATGGTTGTTCATTTGGATATTAATGTGTCAAAGCTTATATGGTATAATTTTCGGTTGATATTTTTTAATGTATAATATAATTTTTAAATTTATAGTTCCAACTTCCAGGACAATCCCACACGTATTACAGTACTTAAAAAATGGTCAAACAGGTTATTGTGTGGTTCAGAATCCAAGGTCAATAAGATTGTAAAAGATCTTCAAAACGTTCAATCTTTTTGCCTTCTCAGCAAACGTTGGCGTGCTAAGATCATCAAGGTATTTCAATTCACAACAAAGATATTTTGCAACTATATTATTATATTACAGAAGTAAAAATCGAATACTCTATCATCTACATTGAATTTATTTTCTATTGATGTTTATCAAATAATAACACAATTACAATAATATGGATCAATTACACTTCAAGGTAACAATTGAACCAAAACAATGAAAATTTTGAAAACTAGTCCCACCGTTTGTATTAATTCAATTAGTCTGCTAATATTATACATGAAATTACACAATTTCAATTATCATCATATTTCTCAGTTGTGGTAGCCCAAGGGTAAAGGTAGACGAAGAACTTAATGTTATATTGTGTACGACGATGTTAAAATATGCAAAATATACATAATCCGTGAGAAAACCCTGGACGCTTATAATACTCATGACTCTTGTAGATGCTTTGTTCCTTGTAATTGCATTGAATTAATTTTTCCAACGCTGGAAACACCAAAAATGCTACTTAAAAAAAAACAACAAAGATTTCTACTACTTAGCAGAAACTACAAAATTTAACTTCATTAATACATGTAGTAATTATGTTAGTGTATGCAATTTACGTTCATAGCGGTACCAAAAATTTTTTTAAATAAATCAGTTTTTCAATTTATAGGTTGGAAATAAAAGTGTGTTAATTGCAATTATTTCTATATTCGATTGTACATAGATGTCTCGCCAGTTATTTTAATTAGACGGTATGTTCAATTCAACAACTATACTGAAGAAACGACTTAGGTATTTACCTAATTAGCTTCACAAAGAGCTAACGGAATATGGAGTTAAAAAAAGCATTTGCTTCTGATGCGTTGGTAGTACACAATTAGATATAAAATGCTGGGAGGCTGGTGATTTCTGCAAAACGTGCATCCCCGTCGTGATTTTTCCGTTATTGGTTTGATTGTTATTACCTAAGACAACGCACGTGTATACGCCCAAAAATTATTTTATTAATGAATGTTATGTACATTTGACGACAACAACGATAAATCGATTGTTATCGTTATGATTTAAACAAAAATAACTAAAGATGCATATTATTTTACGAATAATTGATGGTAGTAAAGTCTACGGATTTACACTTTAAATACACCACAAGCAAACTAAAATAAAAGAAAGATATTGATGAGTTCGGTGAACTTCCAAGTTGTTAAACAGTTGTTTCCAATCAAGAATGTGTACCTACTCTCCCCCGAGACAAGTGCTTATTTTGAGGTCAACACCTTTAAGCATTATTCATATTACTTCTTTTCTCATTATTTTCAATATAAGATGTTTTTGTGTACACGAACTCGCTCACTTTCGTATTGTTTCCTAGGTTCTCAAAACCACCCGAAGAAATTAAACCGGTCTCGTGAAGAGAACTGATAAAGTATGAAGGGT